GTAAAGTGGCGGGGATGCCCAAACTCCGAGAACACGTGGGAGTTCTAGGTGCCACTTACACGTACCCTGGTTTGGAGGGCTGGGCCACACAAGATGGTGTGACCTTACAAAGGTGGGGATTAAGCAATTCCGTGTAATCGCACTATGGTGTGGCTACACCTTAAAAGAAGCCACTACATGGCGACTGCCAGTAGTTGTGATCATTAATAAGTGTATTTGAAAAACCTAAGGTCTTAGATATAGACGGCTCTGCCGCAAATAAAACAGATAAATACAATTTTAACTTTGAACGGAAGAGTACATTTGCCTTGGGTTAAGGTTTTTGCTACTCTTATAGGTAGTGGATTGCGATCCGCTACACTCGTACTGGTTCTAGCATAAAACGAATGTCGGTGGCCCCAGTAAGCTTTCTTTAAGCAAAGAACTACGGCTGCCCGCTGCAGTTGGTTTCCCAATGCGACAAAAAAGCCTGGCTTGTATACCATCTATCTTTCATGTGTCTTTGGCGCGTATAAAAGCTTTGTATTTGATTTGGATCCAGCGCACAAACGTAGTTATTTTCCGCTTGACAATTCTATTTACTAACGCAGCAAATAGAGCTGGCGCCACCCCCAAGACACGATGTCGTGTCGGCAAAAGTCGGACGGGTACTAGTTACGGACGCAATCCCTTCTTTTGTTCTTGCAGTACAACCGCAACAGAACATTGTCAAAGAATGATCGAAGCTTCTGTGTCAAATTACCGCGGTCGCGCATATTTTTATTGTGTCAATCATCCGCACCACACTTAAAACTGAGACGAATACCCAATTTATGGTGATGTACGCTGGATTAGAAAAAAATTGAGCAAAAAGCAGTTTGATTTCAGCAAATAAGATCAGTAGAATATTTGGCCAGGAAAATTTTCTAATTGCTAAGTTTAAGTCATACGAACAAACAGTTAATGATTCTCTATCGAACTTTTCTGTATTAAAGTATCTGCTGAGCCTGATACATGTTAGCTCACACTTTTTCTGGCAGGTGCCTCGTGTATGATTCACGTGCTGTACAGTATGCCATATGTGCTATGATAGCTTTGGCTTATTAATGTATGTGTATAGAACTTATTTCTGCGTTGAAATAGAACATTGCTTACACGAGCCAAGGTTATATGAGGTGCAGGGGTACGGTTTCTTCATGTTACCTAGCGTCATTCTTACAATATTACTGGTCAAACTAAAAGTTTTGTCCTTTCTACGACGCCAACAGTGTCTTATGCACACGGACACTCCACCTACAATCATGGAGCCACACGGTATTCAACTAGACGAATCACAGAACCCTTCTAGGCCCACGCTTCGCAGCATAGCGACGGGCAATGGCGGTATGCATTCCCGACCCGTCGTCAGACGATCTGACAGGCTCGAGCGTGGTCGGAATGAGCGACAGCACCAACTTCTTGAGCGCTGCCAGTGGCAGCATCGATGATGAATACATGCAGCTTGAGAACGAGTTTCCGGGCGCTGTAGCTATTTCAACAGGCGTGAACGTGCTGTCTCTACTGGGTTTTGCCTTTATCCTTGTCACATATCTGCTCTTTCCGCCGGTTCGCAAGCAACACTCGTCGCTGCTTGTATGGGTCGCACTCATGGGCATGCTTTATCACGGTACTGTACTTACTCAAACGTCCGCAACCTTTGGCACCTGCTGCTCCACAGCTCCCCTGGTGCAGATTGCGCTGCTTGCTCATGAACTCTACTTTTTTGCACTCGCGTTTAATTTCTACTTCACGACCAAGTTCCCTTTTCGGTCGTCAAGATGGTTAAATCCGATTTACCACATCGTGGTCTGGGTTATCAGTGCTGCTGTCACTATCGTTGCTTGGCAAATGGGAACAGGCCGTGTGAGCTCCTACGGCTTTTGCTGGTACGCGGCTGAGAACGACAGCTACAACGACGACGGCGAGTTCTTCTTGCTGAAAATTTTTTATATCCCAGTAAGTGCAGGGTATTGTGTAAGCATTGGCTGCTATATTTTAGCAACTAAACGTGTTCGTCTCACCATAAGTGGGAAAACCCGTACGAATTTGGATCTTATGCGCAGCTTCTTATTCTGTAGCTTTTCACTATGGATAGTTGTGACGATTCCATTTATTTTGCGGCATCGTAACGTGGTTACCACAAACTCATTCGGCGAGAAGACACTTCGTTTCATAGGTAGATTGGCAATCGCATCCCTAGGCTTTGGTAGCGCAATACTCTGGACAAAGTCCGTGAGTACACTGAAGACTTTTAAGCTATGGCGACAACGGAATTGGGACGATTACTTCAAGGTGTACGACGCCTCGTGGGTACTTCGCCGTAATATATTGTACTTCGCCACACAGGGTATCCAGCAAGGTGCAGGTAATGCAAAAGGCACTCCAGAAAACGAGAGCGTCAATCCACATACCGAGTCGATCTTCTCGTTCACGCAGTTGTCGGGGATCTTTCCATGGCAGCTACGACTTGGCGCTGTATCGCAAACTCCGAGTGTAATATCATTCGAGCTGGAGTCTAATATATCAGGTCAAAAGGCAATCTTCCGTGATTTTGAGCCCGAAGTGTTCCATGAAATTCGTCGTATGGCTGGCATCACTCGCGAGAGCTACATGCAATCGTTTGAGGGGAGCACACGCGAACGCTTTAGCGAAGGCAAAAGTGGATCATTCCTCTACTATACGGGTGATCAGACATTTATCCTCAAGACGTGCACGCCAGCTGAGCAGAAGTATCTTCTGTATATTCTACCGCAGTATATGGCACACCTTCGTCGAAACCCAAGTAGTTATCTTTGTCGTTATGTGGGCTGTCACGAGCTAGTCATGGAGCACCACTCGGTTTTGTTTATCGTGCTGACGAATATTCTAAACAATCCCACTGTGAACATTGATGAGCTCTATGACCTCAAGGGTGCATGGGTTGGTCGTCACCGCGGAGACTCCCCTAGTGGAACCCAGCGGGTATGCAAGTTCTGTGGCCATGATTTTGTTGTTGGAATGTCCGGGGAGGTGTGCTCCCAAAACCCAAATGCAGGATATGGTCATACGGAATTTGTAGTAGGAAAAGATCTTAACTGGTCATGTCGCCGACTTGGTCTTCCCATTGATGTCGCTGAGCAGCTGGGCAGTCAATTGTATGCCGACACGGAATTCTTACAGCGCATGAATTCGATGGACTACAGTTTGGTGATTGGCTTGAGTCGTCAAAAGTCGTTCTCCTCTGTAAGTGGAGGGGGAGCGATACTCTCACGTAGCGGTGGATCACCACTAAAAGGTAATGTATTAATTGGTGGGAACAGCAGCGACGAAGCCGGCTACATGGAGTTCATGAGCCCTAACGGGTCTACATTCCAAGGACTTAGGCTTCCCAAAAGACACATATCGGCGTTCTCAACAGACGCATGCGTCGTTAACATGGGGATAATTGACATTCTGACCCCATGGTCCTGTAAGAAAAGTCTTGAGCGTTGGATGCGCGTGAATTTGCAATGTCGTGATGCCAAGGGAGTCTCGTGCATGAAGCCAGTTCCATATGCAGACCGCTTCCGGCGTAACGTCATTGACACTGTCATTTTTGGTCGCCGCTTAGGCTGTAAGAAACGCCTTTCGGAGAAAAAGCAAGGAGAGTCGATTATGGTGGATTTTTCGAGCATGTCAATGGACGTGAATTTTTCTATAGACATTGCAAACCTGTCAATGGACACTATGTCAAACCTTTCCATGGAGATATAGCACTAAATGTCGCCGTCGAACCCACGTCCACACACCCAAAGGAATCATGCCATTAAATCATCTCCGATTAAAACTACTGTAGGCTGACACAGTATCTCCGATTAAACCTACTGTAGGCTGACACAGTAGACGGTGAGCACGCAAGTCATGGTCGTGTTCTCCCATCGAATCGACACGCTTCCTGAATTTCGATTACAAGTTTGTAAATAATGTCTGTTAAAAGCTGCACCTAAAGGAATGGCGTCCAGTGCTCACCATCGCGTTCAGCGTCCCAAAAGCATGACGAATTGGTGTGATAGCCAGCATTCCTCTTCTGAAGAATCGTGCAATTCACTGTAGCAGCATCCAGTATAGCATTCTTAGCTTGCGCACGTACTCAATTTTGCCTAACTATTTAACTTGTTGCGTAACGCCTCAGCATACACTACTTGTCTTCTTGCAACGTACCAATATATTTAAATCCAGCCGAACCGTTAGCCACGCTTTTGAGTTCCTTCAGACAATTCGACGAGATGTCTGTGGTCCATTGGTGTACTTCCGCTGCGTGATAGTGATGGCCAGCCAAAATTTTATCAGGGACCTGCAATATAACATTCGGCCACATGAGCCTTATCTTTACTCTTTCAGATACCGCTTCTCATACCCCCTGAGTGATTTTTTTGACCTCGTCCTTAATCGTGTAGAACTCGTACTGCAGCATCGAATTTCACAAACATTGATACGTTACAGTTTTATCGATAAAGCTTCCTTCGTTACGACAAAGTCGCTTCAGCACCGACAGCAGCGTTCTCCATAATGATCTTCCTGCGCTTTGAAGGGCGATTGCGACTCATGTACAATCTTCTGCTTTTCGCGCTTAAGTTCGCACATCACCTATTAAGTTCGTTTTTTGATATTGAGAGTTGCGCCTTGGCCAAGCTACCAGCGCCCTCCTCGGCGCATTCACTCGTACGCGCGTACCATAGTTTCTTCTCGAGCCTTTGATATCGCTAGTAAAGTCGACCGTTCTTTCTACTCGCTTGGATTCTCACAAAAACCGACCTTACTATGGCAGTGACGTCGCAGTCGAATGGGCTTGCGTCGCCGTGTATGTCGAAAGCTGACAATAGCGTTGAGCCTTTTAACATAAGCAAAAGCCGCCGAAGCAATCCCGCTGGTGGACTTCGCTTTGCACAAATTACGAGGCACCACCATAATCAAGACGATCCTTTCAAACCCGTCGACGTTTTGCCTTGGCGCATGCGCGAACGCATGAAGACGATGGACGTAGCGCTTGTTCTGTGTCTCAATATTGGTACAGACCCTCCTGATGTGGAGAAGTCGACACCTTGTGCTCGTAAAGAGTGCTGGGTGGATCCGTTCTCCATGCCAGCGAAAAAGGCAATCGAGACGATTGGGAACACGCTGCAGTCGCAGTACGAACGCTGGCAGCCACGTGCGCGCTATAAACAAACGTTAGATCCAACAGTGGAAAAAGTTCGCGAGCTATGTGTAAATCGAAGAAGATTAGCCAAGAATGACCGTGTGTTATTCCACTACAATGGTCATGGTGTTCCTCGACCAACGCAAAATGGAGAGGTTTGGGTATTCAACAAGAGCTATACGCAATATATCCCACTCCTTGTGTATGACCTGCAGTCGTGGGTAGGTACGCCATCAATTTACGTGTTTGACTGCTCGGCAGCAGGCATGCTATTGAGTCACTTCACAACGCCCCCAACGACAATAAATCAGACGCATGGGCGAGACGGGAATCCCTCCGCAAACGAAGCCATTGTGCTAGCTGCTTGTGCTGCAGATGAGCTGTTACCAATGAATCCAGATTTGTGTGCAGACTTGTTTACATCTTGCCTGACGACGCCGATTACTGTCGCATTGCGTTGGTTTATATCGCAGAACGAGCTCTCGATGGCACATCTGGACGCCAGTTTTATCAAACGAATTCCTGGAAAACTCACCGATAGAAAAACACCTTTAGGGGAGCTCAACTGGATTTTTACGGCAATCACTGACACGATCGCATGGAATATGCTACCTCGTGAACTTTTTCAAAAATTGTTTCGGCAAGATTTATTGGTAGCTTCACTCTTTCGCAATTTTTTGCTGGCAGAACGTATCATGAAGTCGGAAGGTTGTTCTCCTTGCTCTCTGCCAGCTTTACCGCCGACGAATCACCACTCGCTTTGGCGCTCGTGGGACTTGGCGGCCGAGATTTGCCTAAACCAGTTATACAAACTCACCAATCCGTACCCAAACGTTGATATGAGCCTCCAGCCTTCGCGATTTTTCGCCGAGCAGCTGACAGCGTTTGAAGTATGGCTTCAGTTCGGGTCTTCGGAAAAACCGCCACCACAGCAGTTGCCTATGGTATTGCAAGTTCTTTTAAGCCAAGTTCATCGTCTTCGTGCCCTCGTGCTACTGAAAAAGTTTTTGGACTTAGGGCCGTGGGCAGTGAATTTGGCCCTTTCGGTTGGTATTTTCCCGTACGTGCTCAAGCTGCTTCAGTCTCCTGCAAGTGAGCTTCGTCAGGTGCTCGTATTTATTTGGTCAAAGATTCTGGCTTTGGATTTGAGTTGTCAAGTGGATCTCGTGAAGGATGAAGGTCATTCCTACTTTATAACGCATCTTGCTGCTGGGCTTCACAACATTGACGAAGATCAGACTAGCGTATATACTGCCGGAAGCAACTTGATGCCTTCCGAGCAAAAAATAATGGCAGCCTTCATTATTTCAGTGATCTGCAACAATTACCAACCTGGTCAAAAGAGTTGCTTGCCGCAGTACGTACATAAAATCTGTATAAACCTGCTTCAAGATTCAGATGAAAAAGTGCGTATGTGGGTATGCCTGTGTCTGGCAAAGCTATGGGAAAATTTTGATGACGCAAAACGTATCGTATTCGAAGACAAAGTACCCCAAAAACTTGGTGCCACCCTCAATGACGATCACCCAGAAGTACGAGCTGCTGCTGCCTATGCGCTTGGAACATTAGTTGGTTTCCTGTATGACCCGAACACAATTGGCAGGCAAGTTGATAGGAGTCGCTTAGAGGAGTTTATTCGGCAGCGAGCTCACGCTGATATTGTCGTGGCTTTGGAGCTGCTGCGGGGATGCCGGGATGGATCTCCATTGATTCGTCAGGAGAGTGTGCTAGCTTTGGCAAATGTTATCCTTCATAACTACCACCAATCACGCTTCGAATCAGTAGCCATGCATTTCAAAAATCAGTTAGCGAATGTTCCTGTCACTTCTCCAACTCGCCGCCAATCTTCCCCTGCTGACTTGAAATTTATGTACACGTCGCAATCATCAGAGGATCTCGCTGACACGAGTCCAAAATGCAATGCAGAATTAATCGTGGACGAGAAACTATTGAACGATATTGGTGAGGATGCTAGAAGTTATGCTCAAATCTGGCACGTGCTAAAGGAGATGCAATCGAGAGATCCTTTTCCTGCTGTGGTTGAAGCCGTTAAAGCTGTTGTGAGCTTTGTGAATGCTAGTATTCTGGAAGCTGAGCATGAACAGCTGCGAGAAAACACGTTCACAGGAACTTTGTTGAATTCCCCCTCGCATAATACGATAATTGCTGAAAATGTCTCTATCAAACGTACGAATCGAAGTACTACTGTTGCAATAAATCGAGACAGCACTGGTTCAGAATCCTTTTCCTTCGCTCAACCTCAGCAAATTGACAGTATTTCCTCGAAAGGTGTTGCTTTTCCTTCAGCAAATGCTAATCATGGCAGCCTGATGAAACCCGTAAATAAGCACATGCAACCTATTACACAAGCGCAAAAAGGATTGCGGTCAGCTGTTTCGGTAGGCAATTTTCAACAGTATCAAAGCAAGCTTCAGCAAGAGTTAAGCAGTCCCATGGGTGCTGAAAACGATCAATTCGTGCCAAATCCACCAATGAGCACAGGCAGTAACATGAATCAACCAAAATACCGAGGGCAAGCTTCTTCTCAGATGGTTATAGGACACAGAGTATCTGCAAGTATACTAGCTGGTGAAGAAAACATTAGCGGTGGGTTACCTGTGCATGTTCCCTCATTGCTGAAACGTTACGGTCGTCATGAGCATTTTCCATCAAGTCTCAAATCGACTTTTTACGAACAACACAAAGCTCATTTTAACGAGCCTAGTCTGGATCTTGACGAAGAAGATGAAGACCCACTCAGCGAAACTGGTGCAGAAAGATGGGAACGCTGTCGTCGATACAATCGTATTCGAGGTGCCGCTTTGAAATTGGCACCTGGTTTTGCGTCACCTCAAAAGGAAAATAATCGTTCATTATCGTCAAAATCTGGTACAGGCTTACAAAATGGAATTTCACACAACTCACCGCCATACTTTCTCTCTGAATATGACGGTACGCAGCGAAAATTAACTCTTGGTGATCAGGATGCAGTAAAGGACTTTACCTTGAATCTCCGTCAGCGTGCTGTGCTAAATAACGATGCAGAGATGACATCCCTGTTGCTTTTTCACCCTTACGAGACGTTGCTTCTTGTTGCTGACGAAAAAGACCAAATTTCGCTGTACAACTTTGAGGAAACAGAGTCAAAAGTGCTAAGCATGGGTAACAAAAATCCACCTGGGTAAGAAGTATACTATTGTAATGAAATTTAATATGGGTGATAATAATAATTTGTATGTTGACATGACAGCTCGAGATTGACTTCCTTAAGTTGGATAAATGAAACTGAGGAGAGTCTTCTAACTTGCGGCTCTGACGACGGTGTGATAAAAATCTACCACGGACTCCACAACCCTCATCCACCAGTAGGCAGTCCAAAACTCGTATCGGCTTTCGTCGCGGTGCCGGATTTGGTGCCGGGAACTCGCGGGTCGGGTCTTGTCATGAATTGGCAGCAAGATACTGGCAAATTATATGCTGGTGGAAACTCGGGTATGCTTCGTGGCTGGGATTTACGTCAAGAAAGGTGTATATGTGTGATTCCTACGCAGACAGACTCTTGTATCACTAGCATGGCAAGCGACAAGAATTTCTCCGATATGCTGGTAGCTGGTTTTGGTGATGGCACTTTGCGGATATTTGACTCACGAAGCAGGCCCGACTATTCAATTAAAATCACCACGAAAGAACACTCATCGTGGGTGGTGCAAACGCATATATACGCTGGTCGGAATGAGCTTTTGACGGGCTCTGTAACCGGTGAGCTAAAATTCTGGGATATAAGATTTCCAAAGAATAGTATAAAGTCATTGGAAGCGCATCGATCACCAATGACTGCCCTTGCCGTTCACGACTATGCTCCTATATTTGCAAGGTATGTGCGAGTCCATACTTCACGTAATACTGCTTACAGTGTTATCTTTTTTTCCTTAACTGTTTCATTTGGGATGCAGTGGCTCGCACAACCAGTTTATTAAGGTTTTTCGGAGCGATGGCGAGCAGTTGGCGCTTATTCGCTACCACGAAGGATTCTTGGGCGAACGGATTGGTCCCGTTTCGTGCTTGGCATTCCATCCTCATCGACTTTTTTTGGCGGCAGGTGCTACCGACTCCGTTGTCGCTGTATATTCAAGCGACAAGTAACTTCGATAACTTGAAGAAATTAAAAGTCGTTTCTTAAGAACACATAACCTTGATAAAAAAATTATCTATGAAGATAGAAAATACATTGGTACATATGTGTCACACCTGCCACATCGATAAGCGTTTTCGACATGTCAACTTCTAGTGTATCATGCTGTGAAAGATACTCACTCTTTACTAGCTCGCTTTTTGTGATTCTCTTTTAGTGCTTCATCGACGTTTTGGTTTATTGATCAATCGTGAGAGATAATGCAAAAATCAAATTTAATTACATTGCAGAGCACGATATTGGAGTGCACATAATTCAAAATTACAGCAAAAATGACGATCACATCAGCATCGAAGCAATGTTGGATTCACTCGCACGAAGCAGGTGAATATACCCAAATTCTCGCATCCATGCAGACTAAGCCTTCCTTTCAGGACGTATTCGTGTACAGCCTAGCATACTTCCGTGTGCATTTATCTTCTTTTGAAGTAGCGGTTAATGTGGCGTTGAATGCCGAATTCAACTTCAAGTCGGCACGACTTGGCTGGAATGCACACCCTCAGAGTTCATCGAGCGGGCCTGGGCCACTAGATCTCAGCTACGCTGAGAAAGAGGAGGGAGAGCTCCGAGCTACCGAGCAGCGTCTAAACACCCGACGGTGTTTTGTCTGTGGAGACACCCGTCACCTTCGGACTGGTTGTCCCCTGTGCAAGGCGCGTAAAAATTCGTCGAACCGACGTTCCGCTTCTAAACAGTCTGGTATGTCGCGGGGAAACGAGAAAACCCAGTAGGCGCGGGCCGCTCCACTGGAGAAGAACTGAGTTCTGTTGTGCCTCAAAGAGGTAGAGGACAGCAGCGCCCAGCCCCGAAGAGCTCCGTGCTCTTGAACACGATACGTGTATGCTGGTCGTAAAATCGATCGTGAAGGGCTTGACAAGCCATGAGATATCCTTATCGATTCCGGGGCGTCAGGCAATTATGCTCGACGCTCCACGATCGAATGAAGTTAGCTGTATGCTGAGCGCCATCACTGATCGCTTAGCGACGGGGACTTGTTTCACTGTGCTGAGGGTTCCTGTGGACCTCGGTGTCAAGTTGCTTGACTTTGATAGCGTGGAACGCTGCTTAATCTTATACTTGGATTCAGGGTCTGACCTTATCCTTGGTGTGGCATGGTTGGGACACGATCGATTGGAGCTCGAAGACCTTGGGCGCTACGCGCGCGTCTCCTGGTGGAGCTTTGGTGAGTCATGCACCCATCGCTGCTAGGAAGCAGAAACGCTATTGGCGCGGGCACTGGACCGGGGCGGTTAACGTGCTTAATATCAGAGTATCCGAGTTGTCGAACACCAAAGGTGTATCGGACAGGAAACCCGAGCATGGCTCGCGGGCTGAACGTTCTCAAGTATCGGAGCAGTCGCTGCATGCCATGCGTGGTATGGTCGGCCAAGGACCGATGCATCGAGGGTGAGGCCCCGGTGATGCACGTGGAGTGGCACGAAATCCACTGACCACTGCTCAAAGCTCCTGAAGATAAAACAAATTTGCGGGCTGGCTTGAAACGGCCCCATTATCTACCGTTAAAAAGTAGTTGCTGCATGCCACGAGCGGCTTAGTCGGGCGAGGTCCGAGGCACCTTGGGCTAGGCCCTTTAGATGCGCGTGGGGTAGCACGTTATCCACTGGACAAAGTCTGCGGAGCTAGCAGCTTCTCGTCGGATGCTGTGAATAACATCAAGGCTCCGGTAGAGCCTGAAGTGGGGCTAACACTGGACGACGCTGAGTGCGTGTTCCCATTGGTCGCGCTGAGACGTAAAACCTCTGTGGAAAGGCGATGTCGACGCCGCATGTTATCTGCAAGACGCAGGGGTCGACTCTGACCCAGGGTGTGTCTACGTAGACGATAGTGCACAGATATATACCATTGTCAACGGTTTAACGGGAGAGGAAGACGGCGACGTAATCGTCAAAGCTATTCCCGTGGTGGATGCTCCTCTTGAGCTGGACATGATGTCTTTCGAAGAGTTTGGCGGTGCCTTGAAGGCAGGCGATATAGCCGAGATGGTCATTAGAACGACCGAACGAGGAGATTGACTCGTCGTCGCTTCTGGATAAAACTGTCCTGGAGGACGCCAAGAGAATGCTAAACGCACGAATCGTATCGTCGATCCTGAAAAAACCTTCAGATCCGTGATATCCTTTGGTAAACTTATTTCAAGACGTCGTCTCCAAATACCCGCCGTCGGCCCTAACTCCGGACCGAGGTGTGCGTCATGAGATCGACCTGATTCCAGGAAACAAATACTGCGTAACACGTCGATGGCCCCTGCCCAAGGAACAGTGTGACGTCATGACGCCCTTTTCAAAGCAAAGCACGACGCAGGAATGGTGCGTGAGAGTCAGTCTTTCCATTCGACACCACGTTTTTTGTCCGGAAACCTAACGGCAAGTGGCGTATTGTTTGCGCTTACAATAAACTAAACGCTGCCACCATTCCGGTACAGACGCCGAATCCTAGGGAGAATGTTCTCCGGAACACCATAGTTGGATGTGCAGAGTACAGCGTACTCGACTTGGTCGATGGGTATTACCAATTGCTCATGAGAGCGAGTGATATTCCGCTGACAGCAGTGAGCACTCCGGGCGGGATGCTTTGGGAGTGGCTGGTGATTCCTTAAGGGCTGTCAAATGCACCAGCAACATTTAATCGTCTTGTGACGTCGTTGTTCAGGCCCACCGGGCGTATGCACAGACATACTTCGACGATATCGTCGTCCACAGTCGTGCGGGGCACGGGAAGACAGATAAGGAAAACTACGTCGTTCGTTTGAGAGCGGTGCTTGGGGGCATGCGAACGAATAAGCTGTATGCTATTTCAGATAAGTGCATCTTCGGTACGAAAGAAATATACTTTTAGGGTGCTCCACTGGGAAGCGTGGCCTTCGAGTAGATCCCGCTACGGTGGCCGGTTCCAAATAAACGAAATGGACTTGCGCAAGTGGCATGTCTCGTCAACTACTTGCACAAGTATAGCGCGAATTATGCGGGAATGGCACGGCCATTGTCGAATTTCTTGAAGAAAGACACGGAATGGTGTTGGGACACCAAGCATCGGAAAGCTTTTGACGGGGTCAAAGACAGCCTCTTTCATGCATCAATACTGGCGTTGCCAGACCCCGATCGTTCTTTTAGTATCGTCTGTGACCCTTCGGCCTTTGTCATTGGCTGTGAACTGCTGCAAGCAGACGCCGAGGGGCGAGATAGGGTGATCGCGTTCGAATCTCGCCAGCTTAAGGCCGCGGAGAAGAATCAACCAGCCCATGACAAGATATTTCTTGCGATGAAGTCAAGTTCAGGGTGCACCTGCTGAGCTCTAAGCCGATTGTTATCTACATTGCGGAGCTATTGCACGCATATAAACTCTTTCACTCACCAGCGAGAGAAATAAGCACACCGCGAGCGCTTTGGCCTCTCAAATCATTCACCTATAATAAGTCACTGCTTACGAAGAGTGTTCGGGTAAATCCGTATGCTCAATGAAGGCTGTACCTCAAGTATTTTGAAGCTAGCAGAAGTGCCGAAGAGAATCTACTTAATTCGTGAACCAAGTGGGCAAGGGACTCCACGTCACCAGGCCACGATTACTCGCTAATAGAAAGCATGGCGTGCTGAAAAGGTTGACTTTTTCCAAAAAAGTACCGAGTATTAGTTATGTAGTAAGCGACAACAGCGACAAGACACCCAATCCGAACTTTGACATAAAAAATTAATGAGTCTCGGAGTGAGGGTATCAGTTCACTTCATCAAACACTGTTTACGCTATTTTTAACCTGTTGGCTCTCTGTTCGTTTGACATGAAAGTGGGTGACTTTTTTATCATAGGGTAAAGTCGGCTGAGGGCGGCTCTCTTGCACCTGGATCTTCATAACGTTTTAGCTATGGCGGCCTCTCGAGTTTTCCTCGTGAAACTCGACGTGCAGCTGCAGCTGACATAATCATTCTCCGAATTGATTACTAAGTTGCGCTATTATTTTAGGGCATCTTGCTTCAAAGCCGAAGATAGATCAGCGACGTGGATGTTTGAGACGTCGCTTTATCTTCGACCGAATGCTTTGCATCCAACAACTTGTAAATTCGGAATCGTTTCAGGTCACCAAAATTGCAGGATTTTCTAGAAGCTTCTTTAAAATTAAAAAAATATACTTTGATGCCTTCCTCGTTTGAACCGTAAATAACAAATGCGCGACTTATCTAAAAGATATGCATTTGTAGGAAATCTGTCAGCATTTTATGAGATAATTTTACTTATTGCAAACCCATATTTATTTTGTCTTTCCTTGGCATATGAATGTCGCTTGCCGATTATCACTTTCAGACATAGTAAGTACCGTACAGTCAGCGCACAGTGCACAAACCGGTAGTGATAAATCATTAATTTGCTGCAAAGCTAATTTGGGCTAATAGCAGCAAGTTGAGTCGACACTCCAGATTGGAGGCACTTAATGGCGAGGCCAAAGGGACAAGTGTATTGGCCAAGCCACTTATATCTTAGTGGGATAAAGCCTTCAAGGAAGTGTACTGCCTGACTCCGTCCATATGAATAAGTTAAAGTAGTTTTCCCTAACACCGCCGTCGTTCCGAGCTAATGATCCATCACAACGCAATTTGTTCAGTCTGTCTGGCATGTTTTTTGCGAATAGTCATCAGCAACCATGTTTAATCGGGTTCTAAAACCTGAACAAAATATCTGGACCAAACTACAGTAGAAATTAGCTGAAAAAATCTTAATTCTAGAACAGTGGCTATCGGAAAACCGTCATAACGAAAAATTTGAAAAATAACTTATCCGTATCGTGACGCACCGACAGCAACAAAATCAGTCATTTTACTCTGACGGTCCACTTAGACCGCAATGCCGTCATGACAACAGCGTCAATTAAAAAATATAGAGTCCAAACTATGTACCAAAACGGTCACACTAATGGACACTGTGCTTCAATAACCATACTTGAACATTGTGCAGGAACCAGCAACATTAACATGGAAGCCAATGCATGCGTCGAGTATTTGATCAAGCTACACCTTTGCACGTGCGCGCATTCGTGCATACCTTTTGTACATATAGGGCCACCAATATATAGCGCTTACGGACCTATATTTTTCTTCGGCCCATTGTAGTGCCTCGTACGGTATCTGTACTTGTAATTTTGGAAATTATGTATTATTGCGCGCTAAGTATTGTGTGTATCAGTGCGATTTTGCAGCAATCCGTGTGACAATGGGTTGCAGTGCAAACGTGCTCCCAAAAGCTTCCACATAGCTATGTTTGAGCTCAAAAATTCGTGCTTTCCAGAGCTCAGTACAACGCAATACATGTTGCGTATATACCATACGTCGTACGTATCGTCTTGTCAATGTACAACGTCACCATCGGACATGCAATGACTCATAGGCTGGCAGACTCGAATATTAGTTCACTACCACTTTAAGCCTATCTAGCCTATACCAGACTCAGATGTATACTTGGCAAATAAAATAATCATCATGATTTTCTCTGCAAAATAAATGCTGACTGCGTCGCTGTGCACAGTGAGATATGCTTCGTATAGACATCAAACAGAAGCATTCACATAGCAAGAGGTTCTTAGTGATGGACTGTCAACCTTTTTGCCGCATAGAGGTGACGCTCAAAAACAACAAGGCATATGCCAAGTGGTCTTCTCCGAATGATGCACTATGCAAAGCCAAAGCGTCGTAAACAAGTTAAAAATTGGGTCCGTAAATGTTGACTTAGGAGCGCTTATAACACCTTATTTTACAGTCTTGAAGTCGGCATACTTTACCGCACTCCAACACGATTTGTCTATTTGTAGGCTGTTTAATATAGGCGTATTTCACACAAACGTGTGCATGTTGCTGACCAGGTCAAGCCATTCCAAATGCTACTAAAGACAGTGGCGTCAAATAATTCAACTGCAAGTAGACACCGAGGGGCGAAATCGGGGTCTGCCATCAGATCATGGCTCTCAATAAAAAGTTCAAAGGTGATTTTGTCGATGCTAGAACAGACTTGTCTATTTGATAGTCGGGACGTACGTTTCTGCACTACTACTCGAAAGTGTCAAATAGGACGGCTTCATCTTGACCTTTCAAATTAATATGACAATACTCGCATATATCGTTAAAATTGGCCACGGAGCAGGTTCACAGCTGAGACGATGATACCCATTAAATAGGTTACGATAAGGCAGACTTTAATGGTGTTTATAGAAGGCTTTTTCTGAAGCCGCCATTGGCGCCGGAATGGTGGCGGTATTTGACTTAATATTTGCATGCACAAATAACCAACTTTTTTTGTGACACAGAAATACAAAATCGAAAAGGAAATAAATACTTTTACATGGAAGAAGGCGTCAGTGAGTTCACACGCTATTCTTGGTAAATAATGTTGACATGTGATGCTATATTGATGTTCAAAACCAGGTCAAATTTATTGCGCACTTCCCTGTCTGAGGTCAAAATGCTTGGTGGATCTAGTATCACCATGCCGTCGATCTCCCTCAACAAAAACATACAAGGATCTGCAAGACAGTCGTCCTACTTCTCGCTCACAATGCATTCTTAATGTGAGCTCATTCACCAGGAACGGTCATTCTTCCGGTATCAGCTCGATGGGTTATCGCCTTGCAGATCGCTGTATACAAAACTTAGGGGTAACACTTTGGGCTCCGAGAAAGATTGTGTCTGATGAAGTGAGGGGTGTCATACACCTCATAGGACTACTTGGTCAATTATGTTTTACGACTGAAAAGTCTTTCTTGCCACGACCTTTACTGCTCCGCAAATCGAGAGTTTATACGGTAAATCTGAGTAAGTCATAGCTATGATTGTAACAATGATGGGATCAACCATGAATACTGAAAACAGACCCATAAGCGGTAAGGAATTATCGACTCACGAACGACTTGCTGCCGATTGTCTTCACCTGCTTTTTTTAACAGACCGCAGCTCTAAGTTACTTTGGCTCGTCTCTACGGGATTATACCCTGAGCACATCTACACAGTCAATCCTTTTTATACACCCACCCGAGCGAACCTACGGGCATTTCATTTTTTGGCTTCTTACAACCATCTACAACCCGGAGGCTGAGACATACCACCTCTAAACTCTGTCTTAGTTGATATACACACTGATCACCGTGATTTACGATCGCTCCTTCTTCGCAAATCCTGGATCTAAGGCTTACTGCTGCTTTTGCTTCTGCAGCTTCATGCCCACGCCAGAACTTGTTATTCTTCGTATCAGATGTGGTTTGATAATTTCACAAAACTCCATGAGAAAAGATTTACCTGCCGTTCCATGCCTTATCTTCCAGGCGAATTTTGGCTCATGGAGTAATAACTATACTAACACTAAAATAAGGTAGCGTCTCATATCCGGGATCTGGACCATACAACGGTCCACGTTGTCGAGGATCCCAGCTGCGACAGAAAGGATCAAGGAACTGTCGAGACTCCAACCAATACCCGTCGCAAGTCACAGGACATAAAAATATTGTTTTCATATCAGGCATCTTTAATGTCTCCACATACAGTCCATTATCATTGACAATCGCGCGTTGCAGTAATCCCATGATGGTAATGAATTCACCAGGTCTTTCCGCGGATTGGTATCACACGGACGCCAATGCTGACAGCGACTAAATCTGAGCTGTAAGTCCATCTCTCTTAGAAAGATTCCCTCTTTCGAGCTGAATACCATAGATTTTGACCTTTATGTACAATAGAGCCCGGTTCTTTCGGAGAAGCCTCCGTTTTCAAAGCAGTTAGTTAGTCGACACGACGACTCTTCATACAGTCAACAATGTGCGAATATAAACAGGGCAATGAGACACAGCTAGTAGCATTTCTGAGTACTACGATTCTGCTCGACAGCTAGGGGATGGCTCTATTCCTCCTATGCTTGGGTGCGCCCCACTACTTTTGGTGTGCTTTGGGAGCCTCTAACTTCCGCTTTCTATTGACTCTTCGTGACGTGAAAATTTTACTTCTTACTTGATGAAAACTCACTGCTTTTTTAAAAGATGCAAGTCGAATGCCGAAGGTCCTGGTGCAAGCCTCACGCCTTAAAACATAGACAGAAACGGTGAAGGTGTCTGTTTCATCGTGGCGATCTAAGCAGCGCTTGAAAATCGTCCGCACTTTTGATGAGTATTTAGCGTGCAAGTTCCTTTGATAAAGCGGTGCGAGCGACCATTACTTTTGTCGCATAATATTTTCTTTTTTACACAAATATAGTGGTATTTCACATACGAGGTCATTCTTGTGTGCGCCCTTCCAACTTGCTGACGCTTTGTTGGACGAATTTACGGCCACCTTAATCTCTCTTGCAAAAACCTTTTTTCTCGTCCCTGTCGTCAATTTGCCGGACGCTTGATTTAAGCAGCCTCATGGTGGTGACCAAATGTGCTCAAAATAACATCTTGTTGAAGATCAGAAGTCACATCGTTCCCGAAGGTGTATCACCAACGCAATTTTTGTAGCGAATGAGAGCCATTTCACGAGCGATAAATGCAATTGTCCCTGGGACCGCCATTTGCGCTGTCCCCTCAGGACTGCCCAAAGACAGAAATCATTTGAGTTAGTCTTTGATTAGTAAACAGATCGTATTCCATTTTCAGAAGAGTTACAGTCTTATTCAGATTTGTTCTCTCAATCGGCGGCAAGTGCTGCAAAATCAGAAGGTACGGCTGTCCGATTTGAACGAGAGAGTTTCTAGCCGTGCAACTCTGCGTCACCGGACCGACAGAGAAAAAATGTTTACAATCCTCGTAGCAGCAAAAGCCTCTCAAAGAAAGTTAATTGAACTTCAGTTTTATGATTGATTACTTATATCTTATACCGAATATCACTATTATATTGACTTTGCTAATTATACCATCTGTACTGTTTAACTTGAGGCTCGAAACCTTTGTACTTTAGTTTCAAGATAGAGTAATTATAATTTATACTGAAGATGTTTATCATTTTTACTGCACAAATTTACTTCTGTACTGCCTTACAGTGGTTGACATCGATATAGCCTGTAGGTTTTAGCATAGTATGTGTGGTGTGTCTTAATGTACCAACTTCCGTAAACATATGACGA